AAACTTCCAAAATATTTTAGTAACATTTTGTTTTTAAATTTTAAGTGTGTTCTATAAAACGATGCCCTCTTGGGCATCGAAAACCCACCACCACCCGGCTTACGCCGCCGCAAAATATTGTAATAGTTTACTATTAATATATTTATTTAAGTAGGTACTTACATATTTTATAATAATTATATCTCACGAATATTATCACTGTCACACTTTCACTTCACTGCCACATAATCACTTCACTATTAATATATTTAAATACTTACATATCACATTATTCACATTATATATTTCACATATCACTGTTGCTATCACTATCACTAGAATCATCTTCACCCAAATGAATAATGACTGGTTCTATGAACACTTCTACCGTTGTATCAAGATCCCACATACGTTGTTCCTCTTTCTGTGCATGTCCAATACACTTACACCATGTTTCAGCAGTGACGTGATTAATAGCATCCTGTAATAATAATTTCACGTCGTTTATTTTAAAGGTGGTGTTTTTTCGTGCGATTTCATTCTTTATTTGTGCCCAAACCAACTCAATTGGGTTTAATTCACAGTGGTATGGCGGTAAACGGAGTACACGAATTCCTCGATCTTTGGCCATCTCATCCACTACATACTTAATGTATTGACCTTTTTCTCTTTGGACAATTTTTAATAATTGTACTTTTAGCATGGTTTCTGTATATTCAATATTTTTCGATTGTAACCAGTCCATAATATTTCCTTTTCTCCATGCTGATGTCGGTAACATTTCAACTCTTCTACTATGATAAGGTGCGTTATCCATCACAACAACTGCTCCTGGCTCCAGATATGATAAAACATATTCAAACCATTTTTCAAACACGTCGCTGTTCATATCTTCATGATAATCTCCCGTTTTTCGTGACTCAAATACATGCAAACCATTTTCTAAAAATCCCGTATCGCTTCCAATATGTGTTATAATCAATCTTCGTCCTTTTCCAGAAGGTGCCTTTAATCCAGTAGAAAATCCATCTAAAAATGCTTGTCTCTTACTCTTAACATTACCATCCTGCCAAACTTTTGATACAGTATGACCTTCGTTTACCCATGTTTCATCCATGTAATATATCTTCTTACCAGATGCACGAAGTTCTCTTATTTTTTCTAAGTATTCTCTTCGCCATACCACAATTTCGTCTTTTTCAACGAGCATACTATTCCGATTCCGTTTCAAATATCGAAAATTCATGTCACGCATTATTCTTCTAAGAACCTTATCAGAGAAATTAGGAATATCCTCATCTTCAGCTATTGCAGCTTGAATTTTCTTTATCGTTGGTATTTCATTTCTAAAGAAAAATCCATGAATTTTCCTACGTATGGAGTATTTCACGTCAACGTCGACTTCTATTTTCTTCCTCCCTCGTGTTTCCACTTTTTTCTTCTTTGGATTCACTTCTACACTATTTTTTATGGCACGATAAACAGTAGCAACGGATACTTTTGTCAACGAACTACACATATCAACAGCTTCACTTACACTTGTATTAGAATTTCGCGACCGAATTCCTTTATACACGTTTTTTACCATTATTAATTCCGCATCGCATAGGTTAGGGCGTTTATGAGCAACAGACCGTTTGCTACAACCGGCACTTTGATCCATTTTAATTATTATTCCTACGTTTTAAAACGTCCCGATTGTATTTTTTTAATTTATAAATTTACTATAGTCACGGAATATGCAAACCCTCGCGCGCGCTTATAGTTTGACGTTTCTAACTACGGCTAACTCGAATTCTACGTACGTCCGTTTACACCCACTAAAAAGAGCATTTCCCTATCTGTAATAAGTGCGATAGACAGAGATAGGAAATAAATCGCGTTCAGTGTAACTCAGTCTATGACTGTTATAGATCCTATCGATGTGCAAAGAGAGCGGCACATCATTTAACATAAGCAAATAATATTGAACCGTTATAAAAATCATTTTAAGTTTTATACACTTTACGGTAATAGTGTTTCTATATTATGTATGAATCACTCTCTATAATTTCGACCGCGGAGTATAGTACCAACAATGATACATATGCATCAGTTTGTTCTGATTTGTTAATATTTAATTTTTTAAATCAGTTTTTTATTTATTTGTTTTAATACAATTCCTTCAATTATTTTGAATAAATAAGTAAATTTTTTATTCATATATCCACTCATTCCGTATGTGCGGTATGAAAAAATTAAACCGCTTTTTTCTCGAAAACTTATGATCCTAGCGATGTCAACTAAGAATACCTTTTATTTGTTGGGAAGTATGAAGAACCAATTATTAATATTAGTATTACATTATGTGAAAACCAAGAAAAGTTGAAATCTTTTTACGTATACGCTGCATGCCAAACGCATAAAATATGGAACAATTCGAATCAAATTTGAATTCCGATGAACTCGCGTAAGCCGAATTTGGTCAACGATTTTTTTTTTAGTTTTGTTATTAACATTGACACTAAGATAAGTTAACTTAGAACGGCCTTTTTTGATCACAGGAACCCCCGATTACAGTATGGTCCATTCGTTATAAAACACCCTGTGTAATGTTTAGGATTACAAGATGACAAAATATAAAAAGAAAAATACTTTCCTTCATTTTATGCAAAAAAATTGTCATAATGGTAACCGCGTATAGAAAGTATTTTCATATAATTCCACAAAGAAAAATATTATTTACTCCTATTACAGTAAATTTGAATCTAATATTCCTCAATTTATATCTGACTGCATTTGTAATGAAAAGTGTATACAGGTTGTTGCAAATTCGCTTCTCACTACAGGGATCTCGGAAACGGTAAGAGGTACGAAGTAGCTTAAATGAGGGCAAAGTTGCGTAATCAGGAGACCAACATGCCTTTAAAAATCAAGGTTAACTTGATTAGTTCTCGAAATATTTGAAAAAAAAACGAAATTTTGGAAATCCGTTTTTGTTTCAGTTCACCCTTATTTGAGGTGATATTGAAAAAAGAAGAACACTTTCTCAAGGCAACTTTTTGCCCTCTTTCGAATGGTACAATCAATTTTTATATGTAACGTTTCGTCTCCTCAGGACCGTCATCAACTTCATTTTTTAAATACGACCCTGCAAATTTTATTACATTTCTTGCAAACCTTCCTAACCCCTAATAATGTACTGCCTCAGCCCTAACCAGATTCAAACGTTTTGTCTCGAAAAATTCATCTTCGTTGTATCTAATTCTTTATTTAGATTTCTATATTTATTGAATTATCGTACACTCTAAGTGTCGTTAGACCCTGTGAAATCCACCTAGTTAGGCCGGTGTCCCATGCATCCGAAATCCGACGATACGAAGGTCTGAAAGTGTTCCTATTGGTTAATATACATTCAAACGCTCATTTTCATCCGAAATTTTTTAAATTCATACGACGTCGGAAAAAGTAGAAATAATTTTAACTTTTATCCGAAATCGTATGTTTTTTAACCTCACTTTTTAAGTTTTTAACATACTATGATTGTTGTTTGATATATTTACAAATAAATGTTATATTATAATGTCGAATGTGGAAAATATAATACTACGTATATTTTCTATAATATATACTACTTATGGTTGTCACTTGAAAATGTTTCACCTTCATCTTTTAATAAATTCCATGGTTCTATACTTGATTTCTAAAAGATTAATTTCGGATGCATGTGAATTATAATAATATCATTCGTAGAAATTAAAATACTTTCGGATATCGTACATCGGATTTCGGATGCATGGGACACCGGAATATTATCATTCGTACGAATTAAAATATTATCGGATATCGTACGTCGGATATCGGATGCATGAGACACCGGCCTTATTTAAACTATTACCATCACACGTTATAATAAAACATTATGCTCATAGTTATTTTTAGGTTTCTCGAGTGCTCAAAATTCAAACAAATTTCGATCTAATTTTCTTCAGGATATTCTTACAAATACATCTGACATGTTCTTTGCAGTTGCGGTTACGGGTATAATAAATTCCGATCATATTATGCTTATCTTCATTTTCAACATTTGCCAAAACGGAAACGTTTTTGAACATTTACCTACTATAATTTTTTAAAGTTTAATATTCATTTGGAGTTTTGGTTTTTCACATGCATTTTTAAAAAATTACAATAATGACATTAAAATTGTTTAAAGTTTTAATTTCGATACAACTTATCGAATTATGTACGACCACGTGATGGAGATTAAAATTCTGATAATATTTTATTGTAATGTATGATGGTAATATGTAGTTTAAATAACTAGGTGTATTTCACAGGGTCTACCAACACTTAAGAGTGTACGATAATTTAATAAACAAAGAAATCTAAAAAAAAATTAGATACATTTGGAACGAATACATTGAAGATGAATTTTTCGAGACAAAACGACTGAATCTGGTTCGAGCTGAGGCAATACAGTATTGGGGGTCACAAAGACTTGCAAAAAATGTAATAAAATTTCCAGGGTCGTATTTAAAAAAATGAAGTTGGTGATGTTCCTAAAGAGACGAAACGTGACATATTATTGATTAGGCCATTCGATAGAGAGCAAAAAGTTGCCACGAGAAAGTATTCTCCTTTTTTCAATATCACCTCAAACAAGGTTGAAAACGGATTTCAAAAATTTCGTTTTTTTTCAAATATTTCGAAAACTAATCATATTAGCCTTGATTTTTTAGGGGCACAATGTTGGTCCCCTGATTATGCAACTTTGTCCCATTTAAGCTACTTCGTATCTCTTACCGTTTCCGAGATCCTTGTAGCAAGAAGATTTTTTTTTTTATATGAAATACCCACCTCATTTTTCCACAGAGGGTCAGCCCCTGAATTTTTTGCACTTATTTATTTACACCCTGTGCATGTGTCGTTTTCGATGCAACGTTTCCTATTTGAGCAACCATCATCAAATTCACTTCACTTTTACAAATAGCAATGTTATCGCATTGTATAAAATAAAACACATGGTGTTTAGGGTTTAATGGATATAATTTTCGATTAATTTTTAGGTATACTGGCACAAAATATGATCAATAACAAAAATAAGTCATGTAATAAATACAATAAATACCATATATTCTTACGAACATCATTTTTCAATACAATAATTATATGCGGTACACATTATCCTAGATTTGACTTTACAGTTTGTACAACAAGATAAGACTTTATGCCTAATTGTTACTCGGGTTATTTACCTCTAATAATCGTACATTGTAATCACATAAAAATATTAAAACTGTTTACACAAATGCATCTTATTTAAATGACAAATTGTTTGTTATCAATTTTTTGACATTTTCATCGAGTACATGGAAAACTACATTAGTTATAAGTTAATAATACTGCAGTATACACAATATAGATTATCTGGTTTTAAATACATCAATTAGTGTTTTTGAAAGCCTTTCATTTAACAGACCTGCTGTTCAAATAACCCAAAATTTCCATCCAAAAACTTCTCTGCTTCAACAATTTATCAACTTGCTGTAGAAAACAAAAATAACAATAAAAAAAGACTATCAAAAACAGCGTCTACTATAGTTATGATGAAATGGAGAATAATATACAGAATATTTCCAAAAAAACTATACCCCACTAGTTGACACCTTTTAAATAAATTTTTTGTGTTTAAAAAACCACAAAAAAAAGAAAATGCGTTACCTTAGTAAAAAAAATAAACAACATAAGAGAATTAAATTTCCATGATATTTATTGTTTAAATGCAACACTTTTACGATACGTATTTTCCGACTAGAACTAGAAAAGCTACCTCAGTCAATAGTAGACTTATTTCCTTTAATATAAATTTCAATTTTTCAGTTTTTTCGGTTGTTTAAAGAAAAGAAACGATTTTAGCGCTGCTAAATATCTGCAACCGCCATTTTTTTAACTTGCGACTAAAATATGCCTTATAACTTCAAAAATATTGCTTCCCGTCCAATGGGACAGGATAGATTTAATAAGAGGTATATTTTTACAGGAAACATGACATACAGGATGATTCTCTTAAATATACCCCTACGGCAGCCCCAGAAACGTCAAGAGGTGGAAGCATTATCGAATGCCTCTTTAATATATCTCTATAATAATAAAAACAAGGACTTGAAAGTTTCATAAATTAACATAAAACATGGATGATACTCTCTATATTAAGATATATCATGTTACTTTTGGAATTTTTTAATAGAGTTTGATAAAAAAGACAATTTCACGTAGTGAGCCATGGAAAAATATTCTGTCCTTGCAGTATGATGACCTATTTCTATTATTTATAGTTACACAAAGTTAAACAATTATCAAGACATCTATGACAGTTTCAATAGAAATAAGGCATTAATCAAGAGCGTTGCCCAAATTTTTTGTATCATTTTCGTTGGGTATCTTTAAGTGAATCAGGTTGCATAGTGCCAACTTAAAACATTACTCTTGTATTCTTTCAGTGTTCTTTCATGAATATTTCAAAATATTCCCATGAAGAATATTCTGGAGATTTTACAGTTTATATTATATAAAAGATCAAATTTAGTAGGCATTCACTGGCATAAAAATTGATGAACAGTTTCCAATTTTAAGGAATTTTTGCTATATTTTGTTCTATGAGAGCACATATCTTTTAACGTGTTGATCTAGTGTTGATCTCTAATGCAACATATTTATCATCTGTTAAATCATACATTTTATACATGAAATCATACATACATACACAGGGTGTTCCGAATAAAACTCCTCATGCCATTTTATAAAAAATAAAGTATCATTTGGTATCTATGTATCAATAAGAAATTTTTAAATGAGAGAAAGTGCTTCATTTGAAAAACCATCAAATTAAATTGTGAAGTAGGTAACCCTAAGCATTTAAAAAATAAATATTCAAATTCGTTACTTTAATTTGGCTTCCAAAATTACTAGATTAAGAGTTTTATAGAGAACACCCCGTATATATTTTTAAAAGATATTAAAACATGTATTTGAGAATTTTACCAAGGAGTAAAATAAATGAAAATAAGTGAAAACTATTGAAAAGGAGTAATTTTTTTTGTTGGCACTTTTAGATAATTAAATAATAAATGAGAATAATACTATTCACTGTGATGAGACATAAACTGTTAAATTTACATGGTGAACATGATATTATTTATCTACCCATTTCGATACCTACGAATTTTATTATTATTTTTTTATTAAGGCAACTACGCATCACCTCCAATAAAGCAATTTGAAAATAAGTCATTTATAAAAATTTCACGTTAACAAAAGGTGATACCCCCACAAAGATCGAAATGGGTACATTTATAAAGCTTACAAAAACGAAGCATTTGAAAAAATATACAATATTCGCGTTTACGACTAAGAAAAATAAATAAAGCTTACTATAAAAATAAATCCTTTGCACATAAAATACTTAAACAGAAAGTTACTTGTACTGACTTTGTTACATACATGTTATTTTCACTAGGGATATTAAAACACACGACATTGTCAATCCTATATATACAACAACAACTATTTATATTACAATAAAAAAATCACATAAAAACTTGCATTACCTATGACTGGACTGTTTGTGTTTGCTAAACAAGAAAGCATAATCATCCATCGGGACTGCTCTGTAGTAGTCCGGATGCCTGAACTGAGCCTCGTCCAGATAAGCGTGTTTTCTAGAAAACCTCAAAACCAGAGGCTTCTGGAAATTCGACTGGCTCCACCTGGGAGGCAAGAGGAACATGCTGTTGGACTTGTCGCGATTTCTTCTGTTGAAATTGCGATTAGTGGTCGAAGGAGGAAAATGCCTTGCACCGTTACTGTAATCTAAATTAGTCTCCTCCGGTTGCGACTGCTCGCGAAAAACCACTTTCCGATCACTTTCCGGAGTGTCCGCCAAATGAGGAAATGGCGCGTCGTTGCTGACATCGCGAGTGTTGTGAATCGACTCTACTGACGATGGAATTTGCGTTTGGAACGAAATGTCGGTGTCGGGAAATTTCACAAAAGTGTTTTTAAAGTTCTGCGTAACAACCTCTTCCGGAAACTTGAATACTATTGGGGTATGTGATTCAGAGTTTGTTAATTGCACTTTTGGAGCAAACGTAGAAATTTCCTTATTCCGTACAGTTGTCGGTTCAAAGGTTGTTGTGTCTGGCAACTCCTCTGTAGTAGTTATGATGTCTTTTTCCAAATTGTCAGTGCTTCGTTTGGTATTATGCGACAGGGTGGAAATTGCGATGTCTTCCTCAGTAGTCGTCAGTGGTTCTGTGACAGGAATCAATTCCTCGGTCACTGTGTTAGTTTTTTCACTGCTCAAGTCCGTCATAGGTACTAAAATAGTTGTCGTTTCATCAGGCTGCTTCGTTGTGGTGGCCGCCAGCTTTTTTAAAAAAAATTCTTGTTTTTTTTCATCGTCCACGCTACTACCTCTTTTGTCTACGTTAGCGCTCAGCATTTTCGTAGGTGATATAACTATAGCAACATCAGTTTCTTCATCATCATCCTCTTCACTTTGTAAAGGGATATTCAACTGTAAAGGTCCTTGCGTGGACATTTCGTCCTCCAACTGGTAATCCTCGTAGTCCAAAGGTCCAAATTTATCCTTCAGTCGTTGAATTAAAAATCCATAATGAGCGTCCTCATCTATCTTTATGATTGGAACGCATCTGCCCATCACGTCTGAAGTGTACCCGTCCGCACACGGAGGTAGTGAATCAGGACTAAAGGTAGGAGCGATGAACACCGATTTTGGAGTTATCCTCCTGCGTAGCATCCCATCGGCGTTGGTTTGCTGTTTATTCTGGTTCTGGTCATCCAGCAACAGCCATGCTTGCCAAGTCAAGTCTGGAGATCTCTCATTCAAAGGCTTCGACGGATAACAGTAGGCAGTTGTCACACAATAGAGCAACAAAATAACAACGAATTTGCACGTTTCCATTATTAAACAGTTCACTTTTAACATCTCAAGTCATTGTATCAACACTGAGACCAACGCGTACTTTCACTACGCTCGCGCTTGTTCCCGATAACGATTTGTTTTGGTGGTGTCAGCCAGGCTACTGCGATTGTTTTGAGCGGTGCTGGTGTACTGAACAAACGAACATCTGGAGCGGGCTCGGCCTCTGCAATCTCGGCGCGGAGAAATCTGCAAATAAAATAATAAATTAGTAAGTTGCTAAAACAACAATTATTCTTTTCTGTTTCAAGTGTAAGTTTCCATTTGGCGCTTGGCAAAAGGCCACCGCTTTTGACCATTTTGACCCGCGTGGGCCTTTATCATAATATAATTTATTTATTTGATATCGACACTTGTTTGGAGATATTTCAGGGCCGTATTCGGGGGCATAAATCAACTTAGACAATAAATTTTGTCGGCATGTTTATGAAACAGAGATGATGAATATACATATGTAAAACATGGAATGAAGAAAATTAAATGCTAAAATAATGAAAAAATATCCTTTACCAGCCAACAACAATAATAAGCATCATCCCAACTGTACCTCTTCCAGAATCGTACATGTCCTATTAAATTGTTATATATACGTAGATGTACAAATATTTTTAATCGAAAATAATCGGTATTATTATTGAAATTATTATTTTTGATTTTGGGGAAAAAGAATCCTTTTAGAACTTCAAAATTTCACTTTTACAAAAAAAAAACAATCGAACGAGCGACTCTCAAGTAGGTATAAATTTTATATTTTTTAAATTAGAACATTCTTGAAATGTGTATATTTCTCTGATTTCAACAATATAAATCTGTCATATTTCTATCAGTAGTTTTTCTCTAGATAAAACTTTTAGTTTATATCAAACCCCCATGTTTTAAACAGAAACCTTTAAATAAAAAATGGCATAAAGAATGTCCCATTATTTTCACACAAGTCTGTGGTTAACAGCTTGACCTACTTTTTAACATCCTATAGATGTATAAGAACATTCTGAAATTTTTCTAGTACCTATTTAACCTATATTCACACTTTTTCCTAAGGAGACCTGTATTTGTACAAAGCACTTTTTTTCATTTATTTTTGTTGTTGATGAGATGCAATAAAGATTAACGATTTTGAAAAAAAACGATAAAAAATAGTTATAACAAATTTTCTTGAAATAACAATGAAATAAAAAATAAAAAACAATTGAATATTACATTTCAGAGATGTAAATAAAACTTATGTTTTTTATGCAACATTCTGACACAGAATCCTTTCTTTTTCTTTCTGATTACAGCTACATATACATGGCATATATTTGATTTGATAATTTGTACAATATTGTAAAATATATTTTATTTACTGACCCTCAATAACAGATACTGTTGCAATGGAACCAGTGCATATTCATTTAAATGCTTTTCTTTATTTATAATATTTTTTTATTATTCAACTGTCCTTTGAAACATGTAGGCAATTAATGGATTTGATATATTGATGAAAATAATGCCCAAACACTGAATTGTATCAAAATGCAATTGATTTACATAAAATAGCTTTAATGTTTATACCTTGAAAATAATTTTCTGTAAAAATCATGTAAGTACCATCTGAATCTGAATGGAAATTTTACGCAGATATCAATAAGAAATAAGTTCATGTTTAATTTTTTTTTTAAATAAGCTTTTAGTGATATTATTTTATTTTCGTATTCTTCTCAGCAAACCCTTTCATTTGATACCCATATCATGGGGGTGCATAAAAAATAACTGGTTCGCCATCTTTGGGAGTCCGACATATTCGATTTAGAATGACGTCACTTAGCTAACCATGCATTGTCATCCAAACTAAATCTGTATGCAAAATTTCAGCTCAATCGGTTGACCCATACTAACAAGGCAAGTTAACTAAAAGTTTGTAATAATAAAATATATGTACATATAGGATGTTCCATTTGAAAAAATATAAGTTTATGTTATAAAAAACAGGAAGTTATAGAACAGTATAGAAAAACCCCTGTATCTCTTAAACTAATCAAAATAGAAATGCGGTTTTCGCCATTTCAACTTCTTGAAAATCTAAACATTTTTTTTCTATCTTTTTGAGAAATAGGTAAAAACCCTTCGAAAGTATAGAATTTATCTCACCTTGTACATAATAATATACTTTTAGTAGAAACGGCATCTGAAACTGTATTTTGAGTTAATTACACGAAAAATGTTGGGGGTGGCACATTTGCTTGAATGATTCCTTCACGTTCATATCATTTAATCCTATGTGGCGGCTTGGAATAATAAACCAAGCTATTTATCGCAGTGATACCAATTCGGCAATTAATCCGCAAAATTAGATTTCTTTTACACATCATAAATTCATCCCCTCCATGAAAAATGATCTAATTTTGCAACTTAAATACGTTTAGGACCTTGCATCTTACCATAAAAGTCCATGTTTATCGTTTTTAAATAAATGTTCTTTTTGTGAAATTGAATATGTATTCAAAATATTATCGATCTATTTTATTTGATAGCAAACTATTTTTTTTGTCAATTGTCAATATCAAATTTGGACCATCTCAGTATCTAATAATTGTTTACGTTTGGAATCAGTTTTATTTACACAAATTTCAACTGTCAAAAGAAATAAATATCGGCAAATTGCGCTGAATCCGGTTCTGAGTAACAGTTTAAAGACCTTATTTTCTCATTATGATAGACGGAATATTATTAAATGATTATTTACCATAGATATACCTCTTTTTTGAGAATATTGTTTAATTAAGACTAATCAACATTCCGAATATTTTTTAGAGAGCAATTTAACAATTCTTGAGTTATTTTACCATTGTATTTGAAACAAACTTAATCGTAAAGTATCAGCTTGTGAAAAAATCTAAGTATCTAGATTTAAAATAAAAACGCTTAGTATTACAATCATTTTTGAACAGGGTGAGAATGCTTTTTCAGTTTTCTTCTTTCTATACTTTAACAGGAATTTTTTTTCGGATTGTCCCTACAACAAGAGATTTCCAATTCATGAGAAAAGATTTCAAAAACACGCGTATCTTCTGCCCCCGAAAGTGGAAATTTCAAAAAAGAATTTTAATAGAATTGAAATAACGTTGGACAGATTTTTTAGGTTTATTTTTCCAGGCAAAAAATGATATAGTCAAACATTTTAATGACCTTACCTAGTAAGGAAATATTAAGAATTGTGAATATCCGAAATGCTGATAAAATCATCAAAATATTTTTACATATTTGTGAAGACTAGTTTTTTTCTATGTTCTCTATTTTCTCTAGTGTAGCAAAAAATTTAAATAGTAGGGAGAGTATAAAATTATTATTAATAAATTATACTATAGTGGCAGATTATTCATTGAAAAAAATAAGATTGATGTGTACATTAATTTTATGACGTATATTCTTTTGTTCTATTCATTGAACAAAATGAAGTTAGGTACTCTTTTGTGACCATTCCAGTTCAACAAATAAAATAATTTAAAAATGTCTTTCAGGAAATAGGAAAGGAGTTGTGTGTCAAACATTGATCTACATTCATGGCATGATATCCACGATGTGAATTCTCTGAATGACAGTGCCTATCTTTCGGTATTTTGCCAGAGTATGCGAAAAGAAAGTTTTCGATGCGCCACTGTGAAAGTTGTTACTGGCGCATCCACCAAATTTATTAAAATTCTAGGGCTTCTCCCGCAAAATACACAAATATTGAGGCTTAAAGATGATAATTGGGCCAAATATACCTTTATCAAAAAGTTGCTGCATTTCGAAACAAGTTTGACGTAGATTAATCAAACTTGTTTGTGTTGGCGACCCTCTTCTTAATTTTAAACATAACACGCTAAGTTTGACAGCTCGAAAATTTCTCATGCTACGAACTAAATGAAAAAGATCTCTATTCTTTGAATTACAATTGTTAATCAAACGAAGTTAAAAAATTTTCAAAATACTCTGTCGTCTCGAAATTCTGAAATTCTTAGAAAGAGTGTTTCCCAACATATGCACCAGTTTGATATACATACAAAAAAAATGAATGTTTATCTTTGTTTGGATAAGTTCTAGCTGACGTTTCATTGATCTACGTCTAACGTCTCTCGAGATATTTGCGTATTTGTAAAGTTTCTTAAAAACTTATACTATCTAAGATATATTTTTTACTCATTTGCCATTTTTTTGGCTTCAAAACTACCTGGTACCTTCTTCACTCAAATATAGCCTGTATAAATATTCAAAACAATATACAGGGTGTTCCTAAATAGACGTTAGAAACTTTAACTGCAGGGAGAACCCATCGAAATAGAAAATTTGCTATCAATAGAGTAAATGAAGAAAAAAATTTGATTGTATATTTGTAATATAAGAGCATTACATACTGCAATGTTACTACTTAACTTTTTTAATCCGAAATACTATCATTTTTTTTTTAATAATTTTGTAAATATCGGAAAAGCAAAAGATGTATTTTTTCTAAAATTAAATTTTGGGGATAAACCCCCTTGGTTGATATACATGCGGCATGCCTCACATTCAGACAAAATTTGCTGTTGTTTGTGATATATGCCCCAGCTAGTTTGTTGCATCGAAACTGAATTCATTGATAAAAAAAACGAATTCGCAACGCAGACTGAAGAGAATGAATCAAATAGGACAAATTCAAAATAAAATCAAAAAGTTAAAAGTCATAAGTGAAAGTACAGGATAAAAAACCAAGTAAATAAAGATGAAACAAAATAAGCAGTTTTTCCCGGGGGAAAAAGAATGCAGTTCAGAGGAAATAAGAAAACAAGTAAAAACAGAAATCTATTTCCATCACACAACACTTCATACAAGTGAGTGTGGTAGACGGCAAGTTCAAAAGTCTTTTGGACAGCGAAAACAGGTAGAAGGAGAATCAATATACCTCAAATAAATCAACCAATAAGGACTAGACTCTATCATATATGACTATAATGAGTCAGTTTGTCGACTAATTACCAATTCTTTTTTTTATAATATAAATTGTAATTATGCAATTATAGTGTTGTTTTTTCAATTACGATAGTAAGAGTTAAATTCAACTAAATCAATAGTTTGTAACAGAAAAAAGGTAAGCAATATTATATATTAACATAAATTTTTATTCATACAAGTAAACTTCCCAGCATAGAATTTTGGCAGACTAGCTAAAAACATATCCAACATTCAAA